CATTGTGCTGTCTGTAGATGAAGAGGATTTTTTTTTTCCTTTAGAGGGGATGCATTATCTTGGTTTCTTATATTTCTTGTGCCTTTGTGGTAATTTCTAGTCATCTGATAGGTTATATGTTTCTTCCTAATTTCTAGAACTTCAATTTGAGTGTTCAAGGGTATGCAGGAGAAGGTAATCTGCAATCTCTTTGCCATTCCATTTTTATCACTTTGTGCAGGAGATTCAGTGGGTATTGAAGAATATGTTGTCCGTAGTAGCATTTAGATATTTGGCTATGGTTCCCTTAGATCTGTCTAGACACTCAGTGCATGGAGACCAAGTAGTAAAGTGATGAGATAAAAGAAAAAGGAAAAGAAAACAGAGAAAGAGAAAAAAAAAAGAGAAAGAGGAAAAAACATTTTTAAAAATTTATTTTTTAAAAAGCAAAAAATGAAAACCATGCGGTACACTCACACTAGTTCTCGGCTGCCATGCGGGAATCTTTTTCTGAAGGCCTGCCCCTTGCCTCACCTAAACGGGGAAAGGAGAAAGGGGGTTCTTAGCAAGATAAAGGGAGATCTGAAAGCCAAGGGAATACTTTACCTTAAAAATTTTTTAAAAAAGAAAACACAAAAAAGCGAAAAGACAAAGTGAGGCAGAGAGAAACAGAGAGGATACAGGGGGTGCTCTACCACTCAAGACTGGGGGCTGGAATCTGAACTATCAGCCAACAATCTTCATTTCTCTTATTACCTGAAAGCACTAGTTCCTGGGATGGTAGTATTGAAAAAGGTACTCTTCTTTACCTCGGGGTAGGCAGGTGGTGTGGTGGTAAGGGTGCTGGATTCCCACATGGCTGACAGTGGTTCAAGTCCCAGAACTGGCGGTTTGCTTTCTCATTCTCTCTTTCTCTCTCTTTCTCCCTTTCTCTCTCACTCTGTTCCTTTCTTGTCAAATTAAAATAAATAAATAAATAAATAAAGTTAAAAAATAATTCTTTTTTTTTGGAGAGTTTTTTGCTACAGGGCACGTGTGCTCGCCAGAGAGACAGAGAGAGATAGAGAGACAGAAAGCCGGAAATAACCCCCCAGGGGGATGGCCACGCCACCCCCTCCATTCTCCTCTAGGGATCTTGGGCATGCACAAACACGTGCAGGGCGAGAGTTTTAAGCCACCGGGTCTAGGACTTGAATCATGGTCGACTACATGGGAGTTCAGCAACATAACTGGTCTCTACAAGTCACGTGAGGTGAGGATAATAGCATAATTCTTAAAAAAAAAAAAAGAATCAGCAGGTGATATGGTGGTTAAGGTGCTAACTGCTGGTCCCAACTGATTGGCTAATCTTAACAAAAAAGATATCTATAGAAGAATATTACATTTTACAAATTTAACATGAGAACTCTGTTTATATTTTATAGAAGGAAACATGGAGAACAAGGCATGAATCTACCCTGATTCATGGACACCAGCTAGCAGTTTCACTAGATGTTCCTTGAAAAGGACATAATTGTAATATAGGTGATAAAGAGGGTGGAAAAGAGGTCTGTGTGTAGACTTTGGCAAAAGGGCAGAGTGTGAAGTTATTTGCATCCCACATAAATGCTCACCAAAGAACAACCTCAGCAGAGTAGAAGTTTAATAACTAGGTAGATTCTGTGGATGGCAAACTCCCTGAAACTCCTACTATGACTTGTTGTATTGGTGAAGAAATTTATTATGCCAGTCAGACTGAAGTTTATGCATAAACTCAGAAACTTGGACATCCAGGGACCAGCAGTTAGCGTAATGGCTATGTCGCTGGATTCCCACATAGTCGACCATGGTTTGAGTCCCAGACCCAGTGGCTTAAACTCACACCAAGCGTGTATGCGTGTGTGTCCAAGATCCCGAGAGGAGAATGGAGGAGAAGGGATTGCGGAGTGGCCATCCCCCCTGGGGGGTGATTTTTCACTTTCTGTTTCTCTGTCTCTCTCTCTTTCTGGCAAGCGCATGTGCCCTATAGCAAAAACTTCTAATAAAATAAAATAAAATAAAATAAAATAATAAAAAGAAACTTGGACCTCCACTCATCAAGACTGTTCTGGCTTTAGCTTCAGCAGAACCCAACACAGAGGTTCTAAATAGCACCAATCCTCAGAAGGACTAGCAAGCTACCTGTTTTTAGCATTGTTGCATTCGACTGTTTCAATCATGGAGGGGGTAATTGCTGGTTTCTCACAAAAATCTGCAATGACTTTAAATATGGCTTTGCCTTCCTTGCCTGTAATGCTTTGCCAAAACTTCCATCCAAGGATTTACAAATTGCCTCATTCATCACTGAGATAGTCTACACAGTTTCCTCTGGACAAGCAACTAATTTCATACCAAAGTGTCACAATGAGCTGATACTCATGACATTCACTGGCCTTACCATCTTCCTATTATTCTCAAACAGCTGGCTTAATGAGAGTAGAATGGCTTTGATGACTGAGTTACAGAGCCATTAAGTGATGACATCTTCTAAGGCTGGGGCATATTCTCTGCGATGTCATATGTGCTCTAAATCAGTGTGCAAAATATGGGGCTATTTTATCAATAAGTTGGATCCACAGGTTACAGGAAATCAAGCAGGGAACGTGGGTGTGAATCCTCTTATTATTCCTCTATTGCTACAATAGAAAATTCTTGTTTCTAGTCCATGGGACCCAGTCATCCTTGTCTGGAGGCCTTAGTTTAAATGGAGGAATGGTTCTAGTGCAGGATGCAAAAAAAGTTCCATTTATTTGTACTTGTGATTGCCAACTGACCCCTTTAGACTATTAACTGCCATTGTTATCAGTAGGAAAATTCTGAGGTTAAAGTATTGCTTAAGGTGTTTGATCCTGACAATCAAGAGAAAATTCCATTGCCATACCAAATGGAAGTGGGTAATTCAGGTGTTCTGCAGGATTGCCTCTTAGTACCACTATGTCTTGTGATTAAAGTCAATGAAGAACTACGCAACCCATACAACCATCACAGATAATGGTTTAGACTCTCCAGAAATGAAGATTTGGGCCTGTCCACCAGGAAAGGAACTTCAACTAGCTAAGGAACTTGTTTAGGGCAAAGGGAATATGGAATGGGTTAGTGAAAGAAGGCAGATAAAAACACTAGTTATGACCACTTGACCAGTTGCACAGCTTAATACTTCTTCACATTGATAACGAGATATCTGTGTCTACATTATTTTTTCACATTCTTATTCTTCAGTTCCTTCTCTATTTTCATAAGCTGCTTTAATTGTAGTTCCTTTTGTATAAGAGTATTCCACTTATAGGATGTCAAAAGAAAATCAGCCAAAGATGAATAAAGGGAACATTTAGATCATTTAGACTGCCACAAACAAAATAACATAAACTTGGTGACTTCCAAATAACAGAACTGTATTTTCACAGTTCAAAAAGTAGAAAATGTAAGATCACAGAGCTGGCAGTTTTGGTGTGTGGTGAGGCTTCTCTATACTTCCCCAATTGTGCTCTGTTGCTACATCCTCCAGAGGAGACAAATGCTATGTCTTCATGTGGAAGAAGGGACAGGAAGGGTGAACTCAGCTACTCAAACCCTTTGATAAGGCATGAATCCATTGATGAGGACAAAGACCTTGTGGCCTAATCACCTTCTAAAGGCCATACCTTTTAATATCGTAGCATTGGAGATTCAGTTTCAACATGAATTTAGGACAAAAATATGCAATCTATAGCACAGAGTCAAGGACATTCTGAGACGAGTCCATTTTAAGAGTGGCAAAGTAGAAAATGTACTCTCCATTCATGGGTCTACAGTCTTTTGAATTCATCTGAAGTTCTCCCTCCCTTCTCAAGAATAGCTTACACACCATGACCCTTCCTGATTCTTTCAGTTACATAGTTCTTACAGTCAGTATATTAGAGATAGCCATGACCACATGCAAGCCATGTGTCCATTTCACATTCAGCCTGTTCTCTCAACCAGACTTTGAGCCCCTAATTCCAGAGAATGTGGCATTTGTTGCTCAGTCTTTGGCAGTATTTTTGATCAGAGATGCAGGAGATAAGGTGGCCATAAGCTGGTCTGGTCTACTGAGGGCCACTGGCTTTCTCTTATGTCTAGTTAATTACTCTTCCTACATTCTATTTAATGTTGAAATCAATGATTTATGATAATACTATGCTTTCTCTTGAGGTAGGACTTGTTAGGCGAAATTAAGAGGACCTAAGTTTGTTTTGAGTGATAAAGGGGATTAGTTTTCTGAAATGCGATCTTTCTCCATTCACTTGTTATGTATTCTTTTCTCTAAATGCTTTTTAGATTTACAAAAGATTTTCCTTTCAGTAAAAATATTAAAGGTGTTTGATTTCTCCTTAATTTAAAAAATTCTTTACCTGTGAGGTTTACTCAGGTCATACTAGGAAGCCTACCCTTTTAATGTCTGTCATAGTTGCTTTTAACATGGGTCTTCTATCTGTATTCATTCTTTAGAGGCGTGATGTGACTTGTCATGGAACATTAAACGCTTTCTAGCTCCTGTTTTTAACGTTTCTTCAACATCAACTGTCTGTTCTGACAGTGTCCATTCCAACTTGACATCTTTACTAAGTAGCTTTAATAACGTTAAAACGTCTAAATTTTGACTGTCTCTCTTCCTTTACCACTGCTGAGAGCTCAGCTACACAAGTGTTTAATGACTCTGTCCCTACTCGCATGAGCCATCTAAGGCAGAATTCAGGAAACGAACAGTTGCCTGTGCCAGATGTGCAGCCATATTAGAAAGTTACCGTTTTGCTGATGATTGTGGAATTAAAGGGACAGCACTTGTGAGGGCCTGAAAGGGTTGCCAGGCACCACCACTGTAAGGCTTCAAAAGGAAGAGGATTCTGAGACAGTTTAGAATGCACAGACCTAGGTCGATCATTGGACGCAGCACATGTCAATCATCACTTTTCAGCAAATGAGCTTAGAGCTCTCGAGGAAAGAGAGGGGCCCTTTGTTGCACCCTCCAGATTCCAATACCATCACTAGCCCTTCGGGATCTTTGTCCGTTTTTCAACTGCCATTTCAGTTGTAGCCTTCATAGGTTCCTCCTTGGGAAGCTCTTCTACCTTTTCTGCCATAGACCCACCGCAGGTACTGACTCAAAACTGTTATCTCGTGTCACCCCACTATTTTCTGGCAGACCCCACTGTTAAGGGCGTCTCTCCTCTCTGAGGCAGACACCTGAACAGCTGCCATCTTCCCTTCTATTGTCCCTGCAGTCTGATCTCAGCTGAGTCACTCGAGTTATGTCTGCCAGAGAGGAGCAAAAGGTGGCGTCAGTTGAAGAAGACAAATCTAATGATACGGCAGAACAGGCTCCTGTACCCAACGTACTCCCTGTGGAATCTGCCGAAGGGTCTGATGGCATCCATGGGATTGCTGCTTATGTGGCTTCCCAAGCGGTTATGCAAGCCCTTTGGGAGTTAGAGAGTTGGCAGGAAGCACCTTGGCCGATGGTGGAGGAGGACTCATATGTGCTACTAGAAGAAGAGGAAGAGCAAAAGGAGGCAGAAGATAAGGAGGAGCAAAAGGAGGCAGAAGATGAGGTGAACAAGGAAAAGGAGGAGAAGGAAAAAGAAGAGGAGTTCTACCAAGAAGAGTGGGGCCGTGACTATAATGAGGAAGAAGACTATAAACAAGAAGTAGACCAGGAAATCACAGAAGTCCCAGAAGACCCAGGTACACACGAGTCACCTGTAATAATGTTTTGGTCCCTGTTCTGAGATCTGGCCCATTCCATTGTTCACCATATATAGTATAATGACCATATCCTGGTCCGGCCCATTGAAGGCTGTGTGGTGGTCAGGTGCTACTCTGGGGAACATGAGGACCCCAGAGAGAGCCCTGGGCCCTAGGAGTGGGAGGACCTGAGAACTGGAGCTCAGGTCTGGGAGAGCTAGTACCTGTCAGAGGGAACCTTGCTGTGGGGTCCAGAGGAGCCTGTATCCCAGTAGGCAGAGGATTTGACAGCAGAGACCAAAGTTATAGAGAGTGAGGTGCTTGCTGAGATGCCAGCTAAAGCCCCCAAGTTCTTGGAGGCTGGGGCCTGTGCATCCAAGAGCACCGAGGCCAGTAAATAGAAGTGAAGTCCTCGGGCCCTTGTGTCCTCTGTTGGCTCAGTTGGCTCAGTTGCAGGTCATATTCAATGCTTGCTTCAGGTGATTAAGAAATAAGTTCTCAAAAAAATTGCTGGTCTTAATGTCCCCAAGCAGAAATCCAGTTCTATAGATCTTTTTAGTCTTGAGAAAAAGTATACCGTCTTCTACCAATCTCTATTTGATAAGAGGTCCAAGGTGGCCTAGACAATGTATATGCTCACAGAAGGTGACTGGCAGTAGGATGTAGGTGTTAGAGAAGGGGCTTGGGAGGAAATGGAGAGCCTGAAAACAAAGGACAAACAGATGCCATACCTTGCTTTTGGTCGACAGCTTTTAACAATATAAAAAATATTGGTAGAGTACTCTAAGAAAATGAACTGGTATTAGAGCACTTGAAAGAAGTAAATGTGAAATTTTCAGGGATAAAGGAACTGATGAGCTTCGCCATAAAATTCACCTTTACATCAAATTAGTGTTTTTCAGTGAAGTTCTGATGAAAATGTACCAAATGCAATAGGACCCAAACCATTCTGATCACTTATTCTCCCAAGGGCCAGAAATAATCAGCAGCTCAGGATGTGTGATCTATCAGAAAGAGGAAAAAAGAGCATCAAGAAAACTGTCAGCAGAAATGTGAGGGCCACAGAAGCACTAGGAAAATGTCCAGATACTCTATTTTTAAAAAACCTATTTCTATTATGAGAGCTTAATAGTGGCTATCATTAAATTAGGATTTTTTTCTGAGAATTTCTGTTCCTAATGTCTTTATTATTCTTTACTAATTCAGCGACTGATTACAAGTATGAAATTTCCGATTTTGAGACCAGTCGCTAGGGTTCAGGAGGATGAAGAGAAAGAAGCCAGAAGAGGGATCTAAAAAAGGTCAGTACCCAATAGAAAGCAAACTTTAGAAACCAAGTAGTATAGAGTGCAGCATGTTCTTAAATGTTCTTCATTTACATGCACACATTCTTTGAGCTGTAGATAAAACTTCTACTGTTAGAAAATTTACCAGACTTGTTACTTGAGACTAATATTTCTTTAAAACATTGTTAGAAGACGTGGCTAATGTAACTGGGACATATATTAGCTAGGGATTTGTCATTTACCTATAAAAATGTGGTCTCTTGTACTAACTTAGGAGACAATACCTTTGAGAATGTGATTGCTCCCAGAGATGTTAATAAGTTAAGAACTTATGAATTCATTCTGTTGTAAATTTTGGTATTTTCATGTGACAGTTAAAAAAAAACTAGTTACAGTAATATTATTTTTTCTCATTAAATTGATAACTAAGTTAACTTACATCTCACCTAGCCTTTCATATCTTTTTTTTTTTTTTTTTTTTAACAAGTATAGAACCTGTGGGTCAGGGACAGGGAGGTTAAGAGAGTGTGGTTTATGGAAACAGCATAGGCTTTTTATATGGAAAGATGCATTTAAATCTCAGAAGAATCTCTCAAAACAAAATAAAGCAAGTGTTTGAAAAGTGGGAGATGAGGTTATGTGACTGGAGAATTGAAAAGAGATTATTCACAAGCACACTGTACCCAGGGGTCTAGGTTACAATAGGAAAGTGTATTGGTTTTTCCTATTGAGACAACAGACATACATAGGATAGGCTGATAGTTTCTATTTAAAAAGTCATTGGTGCATGTTACTGGTGTACAATTGTTAATTGTCTCATTTTATCTTACAGCTTGAAAACAGAAAGATAGGAAGAAAGAAACAATAAATTTGTTATTAATTTGAGATTTTTTTTCATTCTTTAGTAGCATGTAAGAATTTTATTGTTCCAAATTTCACCACCCCACAAATGAATCACTGATCCTTTCTTCCATGTTTTAAAGATCTACGTGGCAACATGTCAGATAAAAAAATAAAAGCTTTTGAAATGAATAAGTTGCAGAGTTATTAGATAAATAACACTGACTCAGATCTATCATTGTGTCTTTTCTTTTTAGTTTTGGCCTACCTTGCCTTCACTGAAAGGGATCACTTTTAACCATTGCCTTAGCCCACTATTTCAGGGCTAACAGATATATGTGAGGCTGAATTTTAAAGAATAGAGGTTTATTTAGCTTTTGATTTTGGTGGTTGGAAAATCCAATGGTATGAGACCTACATCACAACATAGCCAACAGAAACAGAGAGAATGGTGGGGTCATACAAAGAGAGAAATCGAGGGTGGTCATCTTCTTTTTATAACAACCTACTCTCCCAAGAACTAGGCCCCTCTCATAAGAGCTAGAATTCATTCCATCTAAAGAGACAACAGTAATCCATTCATGAGGGTTATGTCTCCATTATCCAAACACTACTTACTAGGCCTCACCTTAAGGGCGTCATCATCTCCCAATGCCATTGCACCAGGAACCAAATTTCAAAACATGAAATCATAGCAACCTTGCTTTAAGTTTCTTTTTTGCAGACCTCCAATTAATTATGATATTAAGTTATAAATAACTTATGTAAAGAGAGAGATGGCGGTCTAGCCCTCTACTGCAATGAACTGAAAGAAAACACAAGATGTTAAAGCTTGTGTGGCAATCAGATGGTGCTACTGGGATGCTATGGAGAAGCAACATCAGCATTTTCTGGGAACTTACTAGAAATGCAAATCTCTAATTCCAGTCCTACCCTAAACCTACAGAATCAGAAATTCTTTTTATTTTTGGAGAGGTTTTTGCTATAGGGCGCGTGTGCTCGCCAGACAGACAGAGAGAGACAGAAAGCGAGAAATCACCCCCCCTTGGGGGATGG